TGTGAGGGGGGGTGTGCCTGCAAAGACACTCCAACGCTCAAGTAAGTGCTCGGCGTAATAAATGCGGTAGGTGAAAGTTAGTTACGTACCTCGTTGGGACTCTATTTATAGGACTTCTTATTGGGCCGTGATTAGGGACTGGGCCCCAGGAAATTAGGGGGCTAATCCAATGCATTACGTTAATTAAGCTCTTTGAAATCGTCTTGGAGTAGGCACATGGTTTTGGCCGAGCATACTGTTATATTCCGTTCGATTCTCAAGTGGTCGGTATGTTAGGGCATTTGGCCAAGTGTTCGAGGGGTCGGGTATTCGGCCCAAGTGTTCGAGGGGACGGGTATTCGGCCAGGTCGGCCACCATACGGTATACAACCCCTGCAGCGTCGAAGAACAGTAAGATATTCATATAAATAGCATTTTTCAAGTTAAAATTACCTTTTATTCAATTATATCAATGCTACACACAAAATTGAACCCCACACTTTCTGGAGGGAGAGGAGAAAGAGAATTTATCACACTTGCTAGTTGATTCCCTCAAATTTCATTCACCTAAATCAAAATTCATAACCGCATACATCGGCAATAATAAGAAAATCTTGCCATTTTGAATATAATCCAAGATAGATTTCTCGAGAAGAATTTTATCAAGATAACCTAAACAGACTTTTACTTTTTAAATTCAGAATTGATAGATAAGTGTATAATCTTATATAATTTAAGATGATCTATCAAGAAGGATTTTATCTACATAATTCGAATAAATTCATTATCTTTCAAATTCGAGACTGGTAGATAAATATACCATATCAAATATAATTTAAAATAAATCCAACAAGAAGGATTTACATAGATAATATGAATAAAGATAAATAAATTACTTGACTTATTATATAAGTCGAATAAAAATCGATATAACCCATAAGATATTTTTAATAGGAGTTTGAATTAACCAAGAGAAATATACCCTCTCAATTTTGTCATGAGAGTTTCTAGTTGAATATTAATCATAAACCTAATAGACCAAATTATTCTACCTCTCAAAATATATTGACTCAAGGTCTATGTCGACTACAAAATCTTATTTTTATTAACTAAGATCACATACTAATAAATAATTATCCTATCAAGTCTTAAATTTTTTGAAATTTATAAATTCATTACAATCAAATATAAAAATTCTAACTTTAAAATAAATATGAATAAATTATATTTTTAAATATTTTAACTTTGATTAAGCTACTAGATTGACTCTAATTTATTCTTCAGCACAAAAAGAATAATGTTATAAACTTATGCTTAATTGCCAAGTAAAATGCAATAGTTATTGAGTTAAATAATTAATGGGCAAGAAAGAAAAAAATCACAGGCGGTGAGAATTCTTCTTGCAGTATAGGTTGTGCAGCTAGCTATAAGAAGCTTCAACATGCTGACAACAAATACTATCATGCAGTAAACTTATATTTTACGGTCGAATCAAAATGCTTTCTTTGAGTTGAAAAACTCAACTCTTTCACTGCAATAATTACTAACTTCATTTATTTACCGACAATTCTAGCCCTCAATATGATGATAGAAAAACCTATTCTCTTTGGTATAAATAAAATAAAATCCTAATTTTTTATTTACACATTCTCCACATATCATTTTTTTAAGCCAAATATAATGTCATATATTATTTAATATGATATTATATTTTTATTTTAAAATATAAAATATAATATGTTTAAATCTTATAATTCATTAATAATAAAGTATGAATTAATTATTTATTACTTTCTTTCTATAATTATTGATGTTTCAATTTTTTTATCTCAAAATAATTTGTTTAAAAATTTAAAATATTACTAATTTTTTAAGTATACTCGTATTTTATATTTTATTGTTAGTTAATTGTTAGTGTAGGCAAGATCAAGATATTAAACAAGAAAATTTTAGTCCAAATATAATAATGATTTACACTTGTTAAAAATTCTTAATCTATTCAGTCAAAAAAAAAATCTTAATCTATATACATTAATAATTATGAAAAATATAGCATAATACGTCAATAATTTCGGAATCTCTATATTATATCTTACTGATTCACATTAAATATGTTTTTAATGGTGATGACTCGTTAATTATTTATTATAAAAAAATTAATAACTTATTATAAATAATAATTTGTAATCGAATAACAGTGCATCATCTTCACCTCAAAAAAAAAAAAAAAAACAGTGCATCATCTGTTTTTCTCATTAAATTTAAGATAAATAATATAATTATAAATTTCGCATCTAATTTCTTTAACCGGTGCCATATTGAACTTTAGGGCAGTTTGTGTTGTGAACAAGCCGATTCATAATGAAATACAAAAATTTCACCCAATAAATAGTTTGGCTAAGAATTAAAATCAACTTATGAATTGTTTGAAAGCATTGAACTTATTTGTTGCGTCATAAAATTCCTTCCCCAACATTTCCTTATTTTGTCTTCAAAGATTAAACTTTCCCGTGAGGTGCAATTACAACATTGCTTCGTTAGGTTGAGATATTCCGTTCACAGGACCATCATAATAGAAACGAACGATATTTAATGCAGAAGAAGCACGAACAGCGATGGACCACTCCATGTCAAGTAGTAATTATCAACTCCTCTGTCACTTCATCATCTTATTATAAATGCTTCTCCACACACTCACATGCCATTCACAAACGTTAAACACAACAATTCACTGTCACACACACGCATTTTACTCCGATGGACCGCGGAATAGTATACTAGTATTAGTATATGCCTCAACCAGATAACAACAACCGCTGCAAATGCATTTGAGTTTGTAACAATATATGTACCCGCTGAATCCTAGGTTCACAATTCCCTCCCACATCCCTTCTGATTTTTCTGTTCGTGCCATGAATATTGAAATCACAAAACAATAGTTGCAGACAATTTTAAAATAATTGTGGTAGTCAGATAATTACAATAAAATAATTCGCAGATAGATGTAAAAAAAAATGTTTAAATGATAAAGCATTGTGTATATATTATAACATGAGAAATAATTATGTACTAAAGATACTTCCAAATTAACTTTCCACCCAGTTGGAAAGTTGGTCAGAGCATCCAAGGATATACTTACTTAACTAGTGAAATTGTGCTGTCGTGGCAGCTTAATTAAAAAAATAAGCTCGAAATCTCACTCCAAGTACTATCACTGCATTTATTATATTTCTTTAAGCCATGTTTTAGAAAGAAAAGCGAAATTATTAAGTTTAAAAAAAAAATGAGGATTAAAAAAGTAAAGGCTTTTGATGTACTATGAGATTAGTGGGGGAAATTGGAAAAGTGAAAAAAACAAAAAAAGAGCACGTGAAAGGAAATTGCAGAAAGCAGTAAGTTCAGGTTCTTAACACCGTTGGCAGGGAAAAGAAATTCATTGAAGGCAGTGTTACTGTGTATGTAGTGACAAGGAAGGCATTCCCAGTGAGAACCGAAAACAAGTACCTGAACTCACATCTGCGTTCCCGTGTTCCGTCTTTCTATCTGGTATTTACTACTACACGCTGCTAAGGATACCTTTTTATGTTACCAACGAGCCCCACCCTTTTACGCGTACAACTCCAGGTGTCAAACACCAAAGCAATCGATTCTAATAGTACTACTACCAGTACTAGCATTAAATAAATAAATAAAATAACTATATTCAAATTATGAGTAAACAGAAAGGCAAATATGGATTAATTAATCAAATTCCAACCTTGTTTTTTTCCAGAGCGAGTCAAGCCTGTGTCCGGTTCTGGCGGGTTCCGATTTGCACCTAGTGAGAAGAGTAGGTCGCGATGGAGAGAGTGTTTGGTTTTGAGGTTGGGGTTCCTTTCCATTGGATAATTGTTGAAGCTTGAGTGGTTGGGTGAGGGAATCCAGCTTTTGCGGTTCCTGGGAAGTGGAATCTGTACTTGGCAGTTCCGTGTTGACGGGGGAACCCCAAAACCTACTCGCCAAAGAGGAAGATCTGTAGGGTGCGGATCTGCAGCGAGTTAAAAGCAAAGCGTTTTTGGGAGGCGTGGAGGAGTTGGAAGTGGAAGCGAAAGCGTTATCCACATTGAGATTCAGCGTCTCTCGGAAGGCAGATTCTGATTCTGATTCTTGGGCTTGGGGATGGGGATGGTAGTTGGGCTTGGGCTTGGGCTTGGGCTTTCGGCGGAAGAAGGGCCAGAGGCAGAGGGGCCGGCAGCGGCAGGAGTTGGGCTTTCGGATGGAGCAGCAGTTGCGGGGCGTGTCGCGCTTGGTTGGGGGCTGTTTGGAGGAGCGTCTGACTCGGACTTGGCCCATGCAGGTGACCTTGGGGGAGGAGGGCTCCTGGGTTTCGATGGTGGTGGCGTTTTTCTTGCGGACGAACATGGGGCTGGACCTGGACCTTCTGCTCCTGCTTCCTGCATTGCTCCTCAGGAACCGCATCAATGGGGGAGGGAACTTGTCGCTCCGACCCGGACTCGAAATGGCTTTGCCCGAGAGCTTCATCTCTCGGACTCACTTTGGTTCGAGAGTGTCAGGGTGTGAAAAGCAATCCAGATGGGGCTGCTCGCTTGCTTTCTGCAAAATGCTTTTCCCATTTTTGTTTCTTTGCTGTGGACTTTTTTAATTTTATTGCATCTTCGCAGTTCGCACGGATGGGTGAATCTGAATCCTCTTTACTGTCAATATCTTTTTTTTATTTATTATTATTATTAGGTTAAAACTCTATTTTCGTCCTTTATAATCTTTTTTTATTTCAATTTAGTTCTTAATTAATTTTTGATTCCAAATTAATTAATTGGTTTCAATTTAGTCCTAAATTAAGATAAAAGTAGGCCGAGACCTCTGATGTCACGTGAGAGAGATCTAGGCCGATCCCTCTGACGCGTGGAGCGAATATCGCGACCTCATGGTGAGATAAATGTAGGCCGAGACCTCTGACATCAAGTGAGAGAGATCTAGGCCGAGACCTATGACGCGTGGAGCGAATATCGCGACCTCGTGGTGAGATAAATGTAGGCCGATACCTCTGCTGGACGGTGGTTAGGCCGAGGTTTAGGGATGAGGATATGTCGAGGCCTTCGATGGACGAAGCCTACACCGAGGTCCCAAGCTATTAGAGTTTGCGCCAAGGCCTCGGCGGGTGTGGCCTGCCAGGTTAGCCCTAGCGGTTACGGGTCCAACGGTTACTAAATCTAGACCGTTGGATGGCCTAGATCGAACGGCTGGGGTGTCGGGACGTCTTTTCACCTCCCCCATTTACCTTGCCTATAAATAGGGGAGGGGTTGCTGGTGAACTTACTTGCTGTAAATTTGCCGAGCGCTCTCGACTTCAGAAGTAATCGAGCAAACCGATCAAAGGTAAATTTTGTATTCTTTATTCTGCTTAATAAATGGATAAGGACTATTCCTCGGGTAGGACTTGTACATCTTCGGAGGCGTCGGGCCGTTCGTCGGATCGAGAGGAATCAGGTTCAAGTGAAATATCACGGTTGCCTCCCTTACAATGTGAAGTGGTATTTCCTTCCGATTTTGCTGAGCAGGAGGATAGTGGGGACGAAGTGATAGAAGTATCACCCCCATTGACTTTGGCCGTGGCTTTAGCACGAGCCACCGAGGTGGATGATAGGGGTTTCGGACAGGTCGGCGAGCAAAGCGCTCCGGCCTAGGTGACTCACGCCGAGGCGATTGAAGATGCTTTGGCAGTGGTTGATGATGGTCGGGGCAAAGCCGTGGCTGCTCCGAGGACTCAGCCAAAGGTGAAGATTGATTACGGAACGGTGGAGATGCCCGGGTGTGAATGGGTAGACGGAGAGGTCGGAGTGTACTTTTCAAAGTTATCCGACCAAGAGTTGTTGGATACTTTCGTGTCTTTAGAGAAATGTTTCGGGAGTGGGGAGGACGAGTTCTCGTTGCTTGCCGAGGCGTGCGAGGACGATGGGCCGAACACTGTTTTCGTGTTCTTGGAGCCAAGATCCGATGAGGATGACAATTTCTACGCCTATATGTGTTGGTTTCAGGATCTCGGCGTGACATTGCCCTTCGATGATTTTCAGATGGGAGTCCTCCGTGCTTTAAACGTGGCGCCGACCTAGCTACACCCTAATGCTTGGCCGGCCATGCAAGCATTCCGTAATCTATGCTTATGCCTCGGTCTAACACCTCACGCGTGGAGCGAATATCGCGACCTCATGGTGAGATAAATGTAGGCCGAGACCTCTGATGTCACGTGAGAGAGATCTAGGCCGATCCCTCTGACGCGTGGAGCGAATATCGCGACCTCATGGTGAGATAAATGTAGGCCGAGACCTCTGACATCAAGTGAGAGAGATCTAGGCCGAGACCTATGACGCGTGGAGCGAATATCGCGACCTCGTGGTGAGATAAATGTAGGCCGATACCTCTGCTGGACGGTGGTTAGGCCGAGGTTTAGGGATGAGGATATGTCGAGGCCTTCGATGGACGAAGCCTACACCGAGGTCCCAAGCTATTAGAGTTTGCGCCAAGGCCTCGGCGGGTGTGGCCTGCCAGGTTAGCCCTAGCGGTTACGGGTCCAACGGTTACTAAATCTAGACCGTTGGATGGCCTAGATTATTATATCGTGGTTCTCACTTTCTCTTTCTCCATCCTCTCCAGCCCGCTTATATATTGTTTTATTTTCTACAACAATTGTTTTTTAAAATAATAATTATTTGAAATATAAATATTAAATATAGATCCATGATAGAAAACAGAGATATAATAATGTTTTGGAAACATTACATTACTATACGAATAACAATTTCAGGGGAGATGGATGGGATTGTACTACGTTAATCATATGGCTACGAAAACAATCTGACTTGAAGCGTCCTCGCCAAGCCATTTGAACCGATCGTTGGTGTTGGATTTCCTTGTGGCTTTAAAAAATAATTTAATATATATGTTGGATTTTGCTATACAATCGTTTTACGGAACTTCATGTAAGAACAAGCCCGCAGTGTGAGGATGTTACCTGAGATGAGTATATGCAAATTTACCTATGTTAGAGCATCAATAGTGAGATTGTTTATAACTAAACTTATGTGTCATATCATTGTCATGTTAATTTTGATTTATTTTATTGGTTGCTTAAATTTTAGTAAAGTTATTTGTAAAAGCAATTTTGTTAAAATTTAAACAATCTATAAAATGGATCAGAGTTGATATAGTAATAATGTAGTATAGAAGTTATTTATAAACAACTTCCACCGAAGATGTTATTAGCTTTACTTTTTTCACCTTTTCAATATGTTTTGATTGACTTTTTTTTCTACTTTTGTGTCAATGGTATTTCGTTTAATACACATTTATGATTTAATTTCTTAAGAATGTTAATTATAAGACAATAATATCATTAAAAAAATTAAACAAAAAATCCTCCATCTCATTGACAAGTGTTATTTATAAATTAAAATTTTCAGAGATATGGTTGCTTTTGTAGATTTAGTGTTTGTTTAATTATGTTTATAGAAATTAATATTTTTTAATAGAAATTAAACTATTAATATAAGCATCATAAGTCTCATGTTTTTAAATCTGTCACTAAATTGATTAAAATATTATTTTAATATTTAATAGTTCAATCAAGATTAAACTATCGATGAAAAATATTAGTAAAATAATTAATAATAAGTAAGTAATATAAAATAATATTAAAGAGACTAAATTCAAATACCTTTTTTTATGTGTGCTATGAAATATTCAAAATATATATAAAGGTTTGTATCAAATATATTTTGATGTTTAATGCAATGATCCGATTTTTTAAACTTTATAGTTTAATAATCTAAATAATAGAAAATAGAAATCTAATTTTTTAGGATTTATCATACAAATAATCTTTAGATATACATGTAACAATATATAAATATAGGTGTAAAATTTATCAATTCAAATCATGAATATAAATAATAAATCCATCAGTGGGACTACAATTGAAAATTGTAAATATACATATATAAACAGTAATTTGAACTAAAAACATAATTTTAGGTAGTCAATCAAACAATTACAATAATTGTGATTATTGTAGTCCAAGAATAAAGAATTTGCAAGCATAAGCTTAAAATAAAAAAATAGCATAATATAGAAGTGAGATGCAACCATGCATCAACATCATCATTTTAACATTGTGAAGCATAACACATTTCAACATAAATGACTCAATGTCCAACTTATCAACACACTTAATAGCATAACAACTCAACTTGCATCACTATTAGACAACCTCCTATGATGTCAACTTAACATCTATTTAGCATAACAATATTTTATGAAACAGTACCATGACCCAACATTCAACATAACTATCAACTTAACATCTTTCAACATATCAAACAGTATATAAATAAATAAATTGTCAACCACAGTCACATAGCAGCTAAACAACACATAACTCACAACACAATACCATTTAATGCGTTGTCACATGTATCAACTAAAAGATCTCTTATAACGTGACAAGTAACTTAAGTAACTTAACCTCATCGAATCTAACTTAATAACACGATCCTTTTGGAATTGTTAGATCAACAACAAATTTGGATATCAAATACACAACATAACATGATTTTTCAAATTTCATCACTTAGAATAAGAAAGCTTAGTATTATTTTTAAGGATAAAACAATTTGGGTGTAGGTCTACTACAACCTTAGTATGAATAACTATGACTATATGGAATTAACTTGTCGACCACCCTTCAAATATTGTGCCTCTTATAGTACTTAGAAATTTTAGTCATTGACTTTATACCTTACTCAATTGGTCAACTTCTAAATAAGCACGACTCGACTTAGCCCCCATATGATATTAACTAAAGATTTGGAGAAAACTCAATATTTCACTTTAAGAGACAATTGTACTCAATAAGGGTTTTTCAATATTTGCACTCTTAAAGCACAACAATACCATGTTCTCACAATGGAATATTCATATTTTAAAATAACATATATTTTGTAGTCATAAGTTGGTCAGCACAACATAACTATATGCATCAAGCATTCACAACACAATTTTTTCAATACTACACATTTTATCATCATATAATGTAACTACAATTCAACTTGGAACATCAACATATAAAAAATTTATCATCATGATTCAACATTCAAACTCAACTAAGTTAAGGTTTTCATTCATCAAAGTCACGCCCAACACCATTTAGTTTACGCCCGACGTCACAAACTCATATCTGACATCATCCAAGCAAAGAGTCTTTGTTTGACCTACGCTTGGTGTGACAAAACCTAAGTCAAGCATTGTCCAGGCATAAAGTCACTGACTTGATCATACTTAACATTACTCATCTTGGACCCGACGTCACCAAGTTATATAGCTCAAAGGGCAATCATGCTCGGTGCCCTTCTACTTATGCCTTGTGTAATTAAAATAGGGAGTTCTCTTTTAACTTATGTGTGACACTACTAATGTCACACCCGAAGTTAGTGAGACAAAAAGTCTTTAATTTGCATCATGCCCTATGTCATGAAGTTGGCGTCAAATGCGACAGTAATTTATACAATTGGCATAATCACGATTTTGACTCTTATCACCTAAAACTTAATACAGAACAACATGCAACATAAGAAAACACAAGTATACATCATAACTAACTTAGATATATCATAGATTTCAACTTGCAACCAACCAATAGCTCAAATCATCACTTTCTTCTTGATTGCATCAA